CATGTGTGTCTCTTGTGGTTGGTGGTGCTGCTGCGGCTGCTCCTCCTGCCCCGCCTGGGCCGCCACTGCTTCTTGGGCTGCTGCTATCCGAGGTCGACGAAGAAGGATCCGACCCAGCTTCATCGGGCCCAGCCGGTCGAGGAGTAGCTGCTGCAATGGTTTCCGCTGCGGCTCGGCCGGCCGCCTTGGCGAGCTCCTCCAGGGTGGTAGAGTCCGGCAACACAGGCGCCCGTGAAGTGTACAAGGCTCTCTTGCGCCTTGCGCTGCCACCGTAGTCCCATGGGAGCCCCTTCGCGGTGACGATTTGTTCAGCCACCCATTGGCCTTCTTCCGGTAGCCGGCGAAGGGATCGCGTCTCGAAGGCGCCGGTGTCACTCAAAAGAATGTGGCTGCCATTCTTCTCATTGATTCCGGCCCACACTCCTTTCCTCCATTGCAAGTCTCCCTTGTACTTGGTGGGACAAAACCCAACACAGCACTCACCAAACTGCACAAGCTGTCCGCGGTAACGCCGGCCATGGACCACCTCGTATGGAGGAAGGCCCTTGCATGTAGTAAAGAAGCGGTTGTGCAGGAAGGCCGCGTGGGCCATGATCCAGCTCAGCTTGATCTTCGCTCGGTCCTCCACATGGGCCTTCAAAGTAAGCGCGGAACAAAGCGAGGCTCTGTTCGGAGGCCCAGCCTCACCCTGCACGCCTGCACTGCGTGTACCACTTGTTTGGCTGCGGGCTCGGCGTCTGACTGGAGCACTACATCTTCAGCACCCGCAATCTGCATTGTTGTTCTGACCAACGTCTCCGCAACTCTCTTCAGAGTCGTGCTGCCCTTGGCCAGCACAGGCACCACCGTTATCCACCCAGAGGTGGACTCTCCAGCCACCAAGTTCAGCCCAAACTGGTCGCGGTAGTCGGGCTTCTCGGCCTCGGCTGCTTGCTCCTCCTTGCTGGCTGGCTCTGTCTCCTCTGCTCCTTCTCCACCTCCAGGCTGCTGCTCTTCCTCCCCGCGCTCCTTGGTGAAGGTGTAAAAGTAATCTATCTGGAAAACGGGTCGGCGCTCTGCCTCCTTCACCTCTTGGCTCTCCTTGGGTGGCGGCTTGTCCTTGTGAGGGCTCTGGCGGCTGCGCCCGAGGACGCAAGCCGGGCACCAAGCTGCGAAAGGCTGGGACGTCACTGCGTGCAAAGCTTGTTGCCTGGCACTAGGAAGCACGGGTGCCACCACCGGGATGTCCGGACTGCATTCTGCCTCGTCAAACATCTTCTTTGCAATCTCGGTGGCCAGCTGCTTTGCCAGGAGCTCCTTTTGGGCACGCAGGCGTCGGAGCACTTTTGCTTTGGAGCCACTGGTTGCCACACCCAGTCTGCGACACAGCTCCTTGAGCACATGGAGAGGGGTCTCAAGGGACAGCTCCACATCATCAATCATATTGTCATGCTCGTCCTCCTCCGGCCCTTGGCCTGCGACGTCCCTTTCGGCCCACACTCCGCGCCCATCGTCCTCCTCCTGCTGCTGGTCTGCTGGAGCTACCATCGGCTCGTCGGCGGGCGGCTCCCTGAACAAATCGCCCGGGTTGCTGAGCAAGTTCTCCCCGAGCTCCTCAACATGGAAGAGCACCGCCACGTCGTGGGAGTCAACAAGCTCAGGCTCAATCTCGGCCAGAGTTTTCCCGCCACTCGGGAAAAGCAGCGTGTGCCCCGACATGACATGCAGCCAAACGTCACCTGGCTGGGGCTTCCGGCCTGCTGGCTCCTTCCTCACGAAAATTGCCATGTGCGACCAATCATCGGCCTCCCAAAGAGAGGTCTCCAGGCTGACGTTCTTGGTGTTGTGGATGGTCAGAAGAGGAAGCCCCGATGGCAGGATTGCCCAGCCGGGCTGCTGCACTGCATCTTCAGCCTCAGGGGGAAGAGCCCCGGCGTCACAAGCCAGGATCGTCGACACCACTGCCGTGAGCATGAGGGTGTTGCGCTTCAGCCAAATAGACACCTGATTTCCACCACGGGCAATGGTAGGACCCTCCGGCCCGTGCCCAAGAACCCAGCCACTGCGAAGGAGACGGCCCAGGGAGAGGATCACCGAGTTCACGGCCGCAATCGCAAACTTCTCCCGGATCACCACCTCATTGCCGCCATTGTCCCGGATCGTAATGGTGAGCGCCCGGGTGCAGTCCTCAACGATCTGCTTTCCTTGGGCGTCCTGCATCTGTACCCCAGACGGCGGCTGTGGCGTGCCATGCCGCCTGAACCTAAGGGGTGCCTGTCCACCACAATGGCGGTCTGAGCTGCATCCGCGCGGGCCGCCTTCACCCCGCTCCCCTGCTTCTCAGCTCTTCCTCAGCAGCCTCTGGGCTGTATGTCCACTCGTCGTCTCCATCTGAGCTGTCTAGGGAGTACCGCTCTGGGTCCTGGGCCACCTTCACCATCATAATGTTGAGGCCTTCCAGGCTGAAGTCGGCCGGGTCGCTGTCAAGCTCCGTCATGTCATAAATCACCGTGTCGTAGCCGCTGGTGGTCGTCCCCAACCGGGTGCCTAGGTCCTCAAACCTGACTGTGGAGACCTGGTTCACCGTCGAGGGGGTCCGGACAGCACTCGCGCTCGTTGAGGCGCTGCTCTGGTTGGAGTTCCAGCTGCTTCCAAGGTTGATGGCCTCCTCCACTTGCCGAACTCCTTTGCCACCTTTGTTTGGGCACTCGTTCTTCCAATGCCCGGTCTGGCCGCACAGGACATGTTCCAGGCTTTCCCTTTCCTCCACCTTTGCCGCCCTTTCCCCCTTTCGGCTGGTTGCCGTGGTCCTTCTGCTTCCAGCTGTTCCATTTCCACTGGTCACCTTGGCTGTTCCACTTCCATTGGTCGGCCTGGCTGTTCCACTTGCCTTTGCCGCTGTCTTGCTTGCCATCCTTGCCCTTGCCCTTCTTGCCCTTGTCGCCCTTCCCCTTGCCTTTGGGGTCCTTGCCCTTGTTGCCCTTGATGCGGTCGATATCCATGGGCGCCGGCCCGTGGTCCTGGGCCCTGCCGCCAGGTCGGGTAGGCAACGAGGAGGACCAAGGGGTATTAATGGCCTCGTAGTGCAGCACCCATTCGCGAAGGTCTGCGTACCGAGTTGTGCTTGTCATTCGCAGCTGCACCTGGCTGCGAAGAGGCTCTTTGAGACCGCTGGTAATCGTAGCGATCTGCAGGTCTTCTGGGTACGACTTCCCCGAAGAGCTCTCATAGCCCTTGACCGCGTCCTCATATGCAATGATCTGCTCGTGGAGGTTGCCTTCCTTGAAGGTCCATGCCGCCAGCTGCCGCACGATCGCCAAAGCGCGTGACCGCTCCTTTGGCTCCATCTCCCGCCGCAACAGGCGGATACACTCGAAGCCGTTCTTCTCCTTTTCCTGGGCCCGGACAATAAGCAAGGGCCTGTTCCGCAGCACGTTGCACAGCACACCAAACAGCTTTTGTGACCTCGCCACGGCTGGCCCATCTAGCAGCGCGTGGTCCACGGCCACGTCCACATCAATGGACTCCAGGTCAGCTTCATACTCCTCGTCGTGGGCAATAAGCCACGTACTCAGCTGAAAGCTCCACTCACGCCAAGTCTTCAACTCATCTTCCCTTGAGCTAGGCTTCCACGCCTCCAGCTTCAAGGCCTTGGTGATGCCCTCAGTCTTGTTGGCTGTTGCCTGCTTCTCTGCTGCCTCGGCTGCCCTCTGCGTGGCAGCCAAAACTTTCCCAAACACAGAACCAAAAGCTTGCTCAAGCCTCTGGCGCACCACCACATCAACTTGTTCCTGCATCTGGGGGTTTAGCCCGCCAGGGCCGTTTGCCCCATCTTGTGATCCTTGCGCCATTGCTTTGCTTCCTTGGCCAAAGGGTAGCCACTCTCCAGCCAAGCTCCTTGCCAGTTGTAACCAGCCAGGAAAATGTAGATACTGTTCCCACCGTGGCTTCCCAAGCCCGCACGCACTGATGCTCCACTGTAGCTTCCCACGCACACACGCACTGATGTTCCACTGCAGCTCACAAGCACTGAGTTCAAGCTGCGGCTTCCCAAGCCCACACGCACTGATAAACCAAAACTCCGGCTCTGCCTCACACCCAGGAGGTCTTACGAAAATTCCACGGGATTGCAGGTGGGCAGCCGAAGCTGCAGCCTCCTGAGTCCACAGGCACAGTGAAGTGCAGCTGCAGAAGAAAAGCGCTGTTATGCGGTGAAACGTAGAGCACCAAGAGGCCTGGGGCCTAATCCTAAAAGAGGTCCCCGGAGTGCCTAAGGCAGCTCCGCTACCATGAACAATTTTTCCTTGAAAGGCGAGGGCTGTCGGAACGCACCAGTTGAGCGAAGCAATGCTTACATATGCACAAGCCGCGGGTGACTCATGTCTTTCACAGCTTGTAACTCTCCACGAAGCTCCAGGTAACCCTCAACCCTAAACCCTAAACCCTATGTGCAGTCTGGTACTCTGGGGTTCGAGATTCAGCCTTGGAGTGATCCGTCTTAGTCTTCAGAACTTCGTGCTGAAGTGAGCTGCCTCTGCACTACATTATACTACATTACACTACACTACATTACACTACATTATGCGCAGTATATATATATATATGTGTGTGTGTGTGTTTGTTTTTGCATATATATATATATGTGTGTGTGTGTTATATGTGCATGTCTAGGGTTGTAAGTTGTCGTGTAGTATGTTAAGGGGGTATATTGCATGCCTTCTTCGGTGAGACGGGCGCACGAAAACGAAGGTAGAGCCATTCATTGAGAATGGATCTTGGCCACGACGGCATCCAACAGCCAGGAGGGCTCGCCCCCTAAACCCTAAACCCAAAACCCTTTAAACCGTAGGCTCAAGGCTTAGCATATGAGATGTTCATAGTATGTTAGAGTACACTATGATACACTACATTCAGGTATGACATAGTTGCTGCAGCTTCTGGCTCTGAAGCATCTGAACAATCCTGCCTCGAACTTGCTGTCAACGTCGGCCAACCTAGGATGCTCCGGATACACTCGGGTATCCACACAACGAGACCACGTCTTATTGCCTCATGAAGTATGTCTGATTTCATATGAATGTTATAAAGTAATAATTTTGCTAACAACCGCCAGAGGCAACCGACAGTGGTGTTACATGTAACTGCACTGACCCCCGATGAGTCTTCTCGGTCACTGTCGGAGATGTTTTTGCTATGAGCATTTCCGCTCTGAGTGTTTGAGACTCAGAAAACTATATCAGTGGCGTGAGAAAGAGGAGCAGGGTGAGGAGCCGGACTAGCCTCATTCGTTGTAGCCAATTGTAACGCCCGGAGGTGGTCTACGAGTCTACGAGCCCTCAGAAACTTCTGCCCAAGACACACCCCTGCAGCCGAACTGGTCGAAGGAGTGATTTGAAAGAAGCTTCCCACATCCTGGCATGTGGCTGTGCACTCTACGTAGGCCTCCGGCCTTGATCAGGTCCAATGGCTTGGGACTTTGGTATATCCGGGGGGATTCACGGGGGCCTTTGCTACCACAGTCGATGCAGTTCTTCCGAGAGCGAAGCGGGTACACTGGGGGTTCGAGCATGCAGTCAGAATACATCCCAGAACCCTACACCCCCTAAACCCTCAGACGATCAGATCGTAAAGCCGAAAACCCCCTGACGCAGAACCCGTCCAGACGCCTGGCCTTTAATCCGGAGTTCATGGCCCAGATGCTCTCGCTTCTGGAGCACAGAACCCGAAATGCTGCGGACAAAAACGGCGTGCGGCTTGGAAATCGGGAAGGATCCACCGAGTCCACCCGCGAGTCTCCTTCCAGCATGTAGGTGAAAGACAACGGCCCTATCCAAGTACTTCGCCCCAAGTGCAATACCAGCTGATAGACCGAACCGAACAACAGGAATCTGAGACCCCCCCAAGATCATCTCAAGGCTTATGCACCCGCCTACACTGCACTCCTCTTTTCGCATCCCTGGGATTACCCTTCCGACGGGCAGCTGTCACTTTGACGCAGCTTCCAGTCTCAGAAATGGACTACGTCAGAAAACTTCCCGCGACCGCGTGGCAGGGGGGGGATCCCGCAAACACACGCATCTGCACCGGGGAAGCGCGCAGTCGCTCGTCGGATTTTTGGGGAAGCACAGTTATCACTTGGTGAGAAACACTCCAGGTTCGGAAAGTGTTTCGATTCGGGCTGCAAAGCTGACAAAGCCAGAGCTCAGCCTCCGGATGCGAAACCTGGGCGGCGGTTTCGAAGAGGACAGGGATTGCCTGGCAAGACCTCCGTTCGAAGCTGCGCAGATGCCAGTGTACTGCAGAGGGAGTAGGTCGAGAGCGAGAGAGCGAGAGATGCTAGCACAAAGTCTCCGAAGCATCAGAGAGCTTTGCGACACCCTGCCCATCTGGCACTCACTATTAATTTTCTGAACGATATTGCTGTTGAGTTCCCAACCTCGTGTCAAGACTGCAGTGCAAGGACTATCTTGCTGCCGTAGCTCTGGTTAATTACTGGGAAACACAAGAAAAGTCATCAGAAATCAGAACGAGATAAACCCAGTAAGAATCGCATGGTCCAAAGCAGCAAAAACCAGCTGAAGTAGGACCTCCGAGGCCTCCGCAATCTTGGCCAAGCTTGTTGTCGCAGTCGTGGTGGCTAGGGCGCATCGTCCTTATGTGTGCGACATGAAGAGGTGAAGCTAGCTCCGGTTTAAAGTGCTGTCGACTAGAAGCTGAGGCTTTCTGTCATTGTTGCAACTGCCACTGTTGCGAATACTGCACTCCTATGAATGCTTCTACTCCTGTACTACTAACTACTAACTACTAACTACTAACTACTAACTACTAACTACAAACTACTAACTACTAACTACTAACTACTAACTACTAACTACTAACTACTAACTACTAACTACTAA